ATATATATATATATTAATTGTATTATTGCCCAGTCGCACCCTGCACTCAATAGCTCCGCTGCATTCGACTCCCTACCTTACGGGCTCCTCTTCTCCCTTCTTTCTCTTTGCACGCTAGATGCGAGTCACTCGAGGACTTCTTCTAGCCCCTTATCGGTGGCTCGATACCAATATCAACTCCTCTGCTTGACACTGAAGCCGCTACCACTCTTCCCCTCCTTCGGCTACAGGGAAACCCGAGCTTGTGCTCATCTATCGCACTCACCGATCTCCTAGGAGGTAACTCTCACCTCTGTCGCATCGTTTTATAGGCAAACTTGTCACGTAGGCTTTCGATTCCCTTGTTTCAATTTCCCAACTGCTCCATTCATCTTCAATTTCATTGGCTATTTGACCCTCTCGATTTGTCTCTCCTTTGCTCGATTTCTCACTTTCACTTCTTCCATATTCTTGTTTCCTTTCCCCTGGTTACGAAAACAGGACATTACAATGTTTCCCACTTGCCAAAATTTCGTCCTCAAAATTTAAAAACGGATCGCAAGTCACATCTCATTAAGCAAGTCAACATTAGCTATTCATAGATTTTTGATCGAACTCCTTTCTTTTATAATTTTGTGTGCATCACTATTTCTTAATGGATATAATGATTAATTTGAGTTAAATTTAATTTTTAATTTTTATTAAAATTTTCTTATATTACTTTATTGGTTCTTTCATCAAGATTCAATTAATCAATTCTAAGTCTTGGTCTCTGATATTACTTTTGTCATGACTCGGCCCGGGTTTTGGAAAAGGTTGGAACGGATTGCTCGACAATGTGAATTAATTTTTGTATATTCTTCTACAATATAACAGATGAAAGAGCCACTAATCTATTTACATTAAGCAGTAAAATTAAATTTACTTCATTATTAGTTATTTGAATCTTCTATACACATTTTTTCTTCTATAACTCATCTGTTAATCAATTAAATTAACCTAAAAAATTAATTTAAATTAAATGTGTGCTAAACAAGTCAGTGAATATTCATGCTCATAAATTATAGTAATATAATAGAAAAAGAAAGTAATTACATGTCAATTAAATTTTTTTAATAAATCAATATAAATATTTGGCATGCTATTTAATGAATCTTATAATATTAATATCATTTTGTATTTGAACAACCATTAGAGGAGCATCGTCTAAAATTTTGTACCATTTATGGTATTTCAATATCAATATTCTTTTTCATTTACGTGCATCAGTATATTAGTATTCTCCCTCTAATGTCATAAAGGGGCGACTCTATCATAGGCAGTCATGCACATACAATCAATCTATATAAATCATATCATTCATAATTTTATATCACTCAATATGTAATATTATAATGTATTAAATATTTCAATATATGAGTTTATAAGATTTCACTTCTAAATGATTAATAAAATTTAATAATAGAAAAATTATTTTAATTAATCAAGTATAAATAACAAACCATAAAATTAGTTTAAAAGAGATACCAAAATGATACTATAATTTAAGAATAGCAGTAGTCACCTCAATGACGATTAGTATTTTATTTGATTTGTTTTGACGTCGATCCTTATATATATAATTACATTAATTAACATAACTTACCCCAGTCGCACCCTGCACTCGATTCCACTCGCTCTACACGCAATAGCTCCACTTGATTCGGCTCCTTACCCCACGAGTTTCTCTTGCTCTCCCTTTTTCATTTTTGCACACTAGATGCGAGTCCTCTAGGACTTCTTCCACAAAGTTGGTGGCTCGATACCTATGTCGACTCCTTCTCTACTTGCCACCGATGCCGCTGCCACTCTTT